ATCTAATCTTTATTTGCACCAAATGAATATAAAATCGTCAGAATAGAGTGGGACAACACTTACACTGGACAATGTACAAACACTTTGGAAAATATATTAATAAACACTGGTAATTAAATTACACAGCACCGGTTACAGAATAGACGTCATTATAATTCTGTAAAAATTACACATTCTTCTACAGACAGGAAGACTGAAGTAAATAAGCCGGAGATAATTATCAAAAACTGAAAAGAAAAAAACTTGCCTGCTAATTGATATTGCTCCTCTAGATGACAGTAAGATAGCGATCAAGGAATTTGAAAAACTATCGACCTGGAAATCGAAATAGAAAAAAAAATGTAGATAATTGAAGACAAGTATAGTACCTATCAGAGTAGGTGCGCCTGGAATGATAAAAAAAAATAACCCAACACCCACTTTGATGAAATCCTGGAAACCCCAGCTTAATAGAAATACAAAGAAATTGTCTTGATAGGTACAGATCATACACTAAGAACTTTGTCCATGTAACACTAGTGATTTTATGAGAGGTAGAAAAACAAATCATGAAATGTAGCCATAACAATGCGTTAGGTCTTCCCTCAGACTTGTTAGGTAGTGTGACAATAACAGAAATTGAAATATAATAATCATGATGATGATGATGATAATAATTTAAAATCGGTCATGACCTGTTTAAATATATTATTACTATTTTATTTCTTTTGATTTCTGTGGTATACACGTTTCCTTCCAGGTCACATCCTAAAAAATCTAAGGTCAGAAATGACATGACATTTTCCCTTGAGCATTAAAAAAAAAAAAAAAAAAAAAAAAATCTAATATCACACATATTTTACATAGATAAAACCTTTCATAAAATGTGAGCTGTTATTATTATTATCATCATTATTATTAATATCATCATTGTTATTATTATTGCTTCCTGCATTCAGTCTATCGGAACTTTTCCTAATCTATCCGAGGGCTCCAACTACAACTGGAATAACTGATGTCCTCATAAGCCACATTTTCGAGATTTCCATTTCAAGATGCTTGTATTTTCATAGATTTTAAAGACCTTTAAGGATACATTACAATCTGCAGGGACCGCCATGTAAATAAGAAAACCCCTTCTGTTCTTGTGGTTTTAGTCTGATGTCTAGGCGATTAGCTTTGATTGTTCTATGTGATTGTAAAGTCCCATATTATTAGTATTATTAGTTATACGAAATGTCATTTAATCCATATTGAATAATTTTATCTCAAGTCTCAGGTCGCCTTTACATTCTACATCCGTTAATTTGCATGGATTGGCAATGCAGAATAATGACTTTCAACCAAAAGTGTATAATGATGAATATAGCTACACTGCTGTACTTGCAGGATGTTTGCTTCGTAGCTTTCGTATCTTAATCAGAAAGATTTTGGTTCGCGCAGACAAAATCTAATTTGTTGCAAGAAATGAGAGTTCAAATTTAAGCCGATAATTGTTCAGTATTTCCGATCTATGCTTTTGAATTAACAGTCGTTGAATATAGATGTTAATTGAACGTTACAAGGTAACATAAATTAGACGAAAAAGCCATTAAGTTTAAATTTGATGATAAATACAGTCTATATATATCCCACCACACAAATGGTGGACATGCACCCTTGAGAAAATTAATTGAAACAAATGCTTTAGTTTTCTTTCTTTCAACATACGGTCACTTTTAGACTCATTGGGGTGACAGCATGTAACTGATTTCTATTTTTTTCGTCAGACTAGGTCATTTGCAGTGGTGTGCAGTAATAGGTATCTATTTTCGAGTTGTATGATGAAATTTGTTTGTGTTTGAATAATATTGCGTCATCCGTGATTGCATCAGATTTTCATCACGCCCAGGAAAAATTTTCTCGACTGTAGATTAGTTGTCCTAGGGCCATTGGTTGTGACGGAAGTTACTGTAAAGAGGCATATGAAAATTGTAACGCTGGACGAGCACACTGGCAAGACTTACCAGTGAGCAAATCAAATAACTATCAGTTGGATCGGAAACTATGCCGATTTAAATCCAATCGAGAATCTGTGGTGAATCTGCAAAGAAAGTGATCTTAGAAATGATATACGAAGTAGTAACATCTGCACTGGGTCATGTTTAAGTGGAAAAAAATACGATAAAATTAAATAATAATGGAATTATTCGTTTTGTTTCAATTAATTCGCACAAGGGTGTAGATATCAATTGAACGTTACGTTATAAGCAACATAAATTAGATGGAAAAGACATGAAGGGTATATTTGGTGATCGATACAGTAGTTTCTAAATACAACTCTATATAAAAGCAATTGAATGGACAGAGTTATATTTTTTTAAAAATAAAATGGTAATTTCCATTAGCTGAAAATCATAATTAGAAATGACACTACATTACGCTCGTCTTTTTGATGGTTATCATTCAATTAATGAATGCAACTAATGCATTCAGAAAAAGGAAGCAGCACGTTTTGCCCAACAGCAAATATCCACACTCCTAGGGGATCAATATTAAAGTTAAGATACATCTGTAGTACACCTTCTAATTTCTGTATATCATCATCCACAGTCCCTTGACTGTTTCAATCGTTTGTGTGTGGGGTGGGGGGATCTAAGTGTAGAAGAATCCGACAAACTCCTTCAGGATGATCCCTTTGTGGTAGCTTTCAAGGGTTCCGGTATCGTCATGTCCGACCACTCTTTAATGTTGCCTCACCAGATGTTGTTTTGTCGTCCTCGCTCGCATCCACCTTCAACAGTACCTTGCATTAAGGTCTTGAAGAGGTTTTTTATGCCATGTGACGTGGCCAAACCATGAGATCTTTCGATGAATAAAAGTAGCAAGAGGAGACTCCTGTTGGCCGACGAGACTTTTGACATTACTCCGTACATAGCCATTGGTTTTGTGCTCCAAAACGTGAAGCTTAGATTTTAAGATATGAGCTAAATCCAGCTGTCCGCCATGATTCATTTCTTTTCTCAGCATTCCAGAAAGTATTAACTCTTTCTACTTCAATTTCTTACTTTACTTTTTTGATATCAACGTTTTGTTTTCCCTGAATCTCTTGGTTTGTCTTTTTCTCCCTTTTATATTCCCTTCCTTCCGTCTTTTTTTTCCCAGATCATTATATTCTGTTTCTCGTGATATTTTTTCTAGTTTTGTTATCAGCTCAATGCAACTACAAGGTTTTAGGGCTTCGTTTGAGAGGAGACGAGGGCACGGAGTTTAAGTGAATTGATCCGATATATTGGACATATTTTAAGGAAAGATACACGTTGTAATACAAATCTTTCTCGTTTCAAATAGAGAAAAGCGAAGGATAGAGAGAAATTAAAAATTGGGAATCAGTTTAGAGAGTTGACGGGCCGATGGGTTGTGTCACAGAGCAAAAAGACTAACAAGAGAAACATCCAATTCGTGTAAGTTTTTGTTTCTTTTTAAATTTTTAGGGTTTTTAAAAATTTGTTTTCGTTCGTGAGTTTGTTTTTTCTTTTCTTCCTTCAATCTTTTAGGTTCTCATTCATGTTTTATGCTTCGGTTTGCAATTTAAATGTCAGGCTTTATTCATGCTAACTTTTTCTTTGTGTATATCATTCCCTTACAAGAGACGCATTTGTTGACGAAGAGAGGTTGGTGTGTTTGTGTCATGATCTATTGCGTGTGATCTGCCTCATTATCAATTATTAGAAAAAATTGTGGCTTCCAGTTTTGTTTCTTTTTTTAACCGGTGCGTTACTGAATATAACTTTAATAATAGAAGTGTCTCATATCTCAAATATATCTTAATGCTGCAAAAAAAAGTGTTAGAAGAAGGATAAGAGCTACGATTTCGAATATTAGGTTTGGAAAGCTGACACACCGTAACTATTTTTTTCCGTTTTTTTCTAATCAAACATTGCGATTTTTATGGCGGACTCTCACGTCGTATTCGATGTATAAGGATCAAGCACCTCTTTTCCTAGGAACCAATAGCCAGACACCAGCACACATGATTTGATTATAGTGGTGAAGTCTTTGTGCAGAACCAACCGCACTGTTGAAGCGACGAATACTGAGACCAGGTGCACTTCGTGCTAAAAGTTCCCCAAACGACACTCTGCAGGTTTTGAATTCAGAGTTTTCCTTCTCCTAGACCAGTTGCCATCCAAGGCTATAGAATCCAGTCTATCCTGCTATTTACCCATAGCTGGAGTGAGAAGAAGATGATCAATACCTTTCATAAAAGTATTAACACGTAAGTGAATGTAATGGATTCGATTAGAATTCAAACTGGGCTCTCCAATTTCTCAATCCGAGCCACTCTCCACTACTCCACCTCCTCGCTTTAATATACTTAGCAAAATAAATATATCTCGGCAACAATATGTTTATCGCGTTAATAGTAAGATGGGGAATTTTGAAAAAGTGACATTGCTTATTCATTTACGTGTCATTCATGACTTTTCGTGGCTTACTTTCTATTGTAGCCCTAAGCAATGCTCTACTATTACCTTTTCTGCCCTTGTTGCATCCAATGTGCCTTGTGAGTTACAAATCATGTAACCTCCCTTTCTACAACATGTGTGCCAGAAACTACAACTATTTCTTGTCAAAAGTATAAGTGTAATTTTTATTTCCATGGCCAATAAAATTCCCTAGTATTATCTCTTGTTATTCTAAATATCATTCCGAAGAAACATTTCTCCGCACGTTGCTTCAAATATTCTATTCTGTGAAGAAATATTTGATGCATATATTCGATACCGGCTTAACCATTTGAACCCTGGACACCGTTTTACCAGCGGTAGAAAAAATGACGTAATAACCAGCTAGGGTTGAACAGTGGTACACAAAAATGACTTAATAACCAGCTACCGGTCGAACTGCAGGGAAAAACTTGTAACTATTTTCATATCCACTGTGAAAAATTACAGACCAGTTATTTGTGAATGTTGAATCAGAAGCTCAGGCAGAAGGGTTAAAATTGTTCAAGAACACAAGGCACAAAGAATTGTCCAATGAAAATTGAAACAAAAGAACCTGAGATCAGCTCAGCAGTTGTTCTTCGTTGCTTCTCTTTACATCTTCCACGTGAGCCCCGTTGCTTCTCTTTACATCTTCCGCGTGAGCCCGGTTGCTTCTCTTTACATCTTCCGCGTGAGCCCGGTTGCTTCTCTTTACATCGTCCGCGTGAGCCCCGCTGCTTCTCTTTACATCGTCCGCGTGAGCCCCGCTGCTTCTCTTTACATCGTCCGCGTGAGCCCCGCTGCTTCTCTTTACATCGTCCGCGTGAGCCCCGCTGCTTCTCTTTACATCTTCCCCGTGAGACCCGCTGCTTCTCTTTACATCGTCCCCGTGAGACCCGCTGCTTCTCTTTACATCGTCCCCGTGAGACCCGCTGCTTCTCTTTTTACATCGTCCCCGTGAGCCCCGCTGCTTCTCTTTACATCGTCCCGTGAGCCCCGCTGCTTCTCTTTACATCGTCCCACGTGAGCCCCGTTGCTTCTCTTTACATCGTCCCCATGAGCCCGGTTGCTTCTTCATTTATTGCTCGATTCGTAATCGATTCCTACCGCTTTCCATCGCTTTCATTTATTATTATTACTTTATCAAAGACTCTCCACCCATACACTCTTTTATTCTTTTTATTCGTTTGTTGCTATAGTTTAGCTTTGTTTTTGTTTTTAACTCCAGGCGTTGATTGTATTTTTCTTACATATTCTATACTTAGCTTCCACTGGCTTTGAATGAGTTCCCGATTTCCTTCAAAATTATTCCTTATTTCTTTATCATCACCCCGCCACTACTACTTTGTTTATTGCTATTTGTTCTCATTTCTATCAAAGCTAATCACGCTTCGTTCGTCGCAACCACTGATCAAACAAAATTTCCAATATTAAACTATTCACTTAGAGTAATGCAATTACGTTCTTCCTGGAACGTATGTACCTCGAATAGTTTCTTCTTTATTCATATCTGTCTTTATTTCCTTCATAATTCTTGTCGTTTTTATTTATGTTCTCATTCATATAACCTTCGTTTTTATTGGCTCATATTTTTCTCTTTAACCTTTCTTTGCTTTTCTTATTTCGATTTTAATTTCCTTCCGATCGTCTTTTTATCTTTTTTAGTCTCGTGTAAGCCCAGTTATTTTTTTTTTAAACTCGTTTATCTTTTTTAGTTTTTTTTGTTTCTTCATAGCATCCACTTTATTTATGGCTGTTTTATAGTCCCACATAACTCACTTCCCTCTTCATCTCTCGGTAAGTTTCATTATTTAGTGTCTTCTTTATTTCCTCTTCTTTAAATCTTGCTTCTTTATACTTTTGGATTTCTAATTTTGTTATATCTTAATTCGTGTTTCTATCAGTTTTTATTGCATTTCTTTCTTTCTTTCTTTTAATAAATTTTAGTTTTTCCTTTTCTTTCATTCTATCTTTATTTCTAGCAGTTTCCTAACTCAGTTTTCTATTCCCCTTATACATTTATGGCGTCTTTCAATCTTTTTTTCTGGCATTACTTAATTCTTACTTTCTTTCTTGCATTGCTTATTTCTTTCCGCTTTTCATCCTTTCTGGTATTATTTCATTATTGCTTCATCATTCTTTCTTTCTGCCATCAGTTCATTGTTTTTTCTTGCATTAATTATTGTTTATTTGTTTCTTTCCTCCTGACATTATTTGTTTCTTTCTTTCTTCCAGACTTTGTTTGTTTATTTTTTTCACTGTCTATTTCTTTCTTTCTTTCTTCCCGACATCATTTCATTACTGCTTTTTTTCTTTCTTTCTTTCTTTCTTTCTTTCAGACAATTTCATTATTCCTTCTTTCTTTCTTTCACGGTGTTTCTTTCTTTCTTTCCAACATTATTTCACTGTCTGTTTCTTCCTTTCTTCGCGACATTATTTCATTATTGCTTTGTATTTCTTTCCTATATTATTTCATTATTCTTTTTGGCATCATTTCATTATTGCTTCTTTATTTATTTATTATGCCATTATTGCTTCTTTCTTTCGTTCTTTCTTCCAGACATTATTTCATTATTGCTTCTTTCTTTCAAGGAAATCTATAAACGTGGTTTTCAGCTTGTCAGTGCCAATCTCACTTCATTAAAAGTCTTGAAAACATTTTTTCATTCACTTTCTAAATTTTCCTTCAAAGTCGTTTTTGATCGTCTGATAAGCATAATGAGGAATTACACATTTATTTTATTTTTCCCCTGTTTGGCAACATATAAATTAAACAAGCATATCAAGACTTTCTTTTGGAAGAACGCATATATATATATATATATATATATATATATATATATATACACATGTATGTATATAGATTTGTATGCATATATATATATATATATATATTACACACACGTATGTATATAGATATACATACATACATATATATGTATGTATATATAATCGATGAGAAATAGCAACATGAAAATGAAATGCAATATATGTCCACAGAGTAATACGCACTGTAAAAGGTAGTTGAAAACATCTTCAAAAGAGCTGTGTTGGCTCACAATTGGTGTTTTTCAAAGTCGTAATGAATTTGCGAAAATCGATTTTCGAGAAGCGCACTTTTACAATTAATCAGAGCTTCAAATTTTTTTCTCAAAAGGCCGAGATAGACGTACATATGTCCGCAAATTATAATTCATAAAATAAAAATATCAACTAACCTATTAGACACAACCTGGATCTTCGGTCAACAACGATCATCGTTTCTTGATTATTTTTCCTACGAATTGATTATGGCAAAACGCAAACACAAGCAATGAAATTATTTCGCTTTGTTGCACTAACGAAAATGTTTTCAAGCTGTTCGCTTCCACATCAAGCAAGGGGGGCGTCAAGCGAAATTCACCATTGCATATAAATTTTGGTCCAATTTAAGTGTGCTTATAAGCCAGGTTCGGAATGTTATATTTATCATTATACTGTCCAGGATCATGTCCAGAAATAGACGACTTGGATTTAGCTACTCTGTCATCTGTATATATAGGGAAATGTCTTCGTTAATTGGCTTATGCCAGATACGAAATCAGGTGGGGTTGTTAATAAATAATCTGAATGACTGTTTCATTGTTTTTTTTGTTAATTATATATGGTGTAACAGCAAAATTGAACAATTATTAGGTTAAGATCCGAACAGCTGAATATAAGAAATGATTAAAGATATCTTACTGGAATTCTCCCTCGATTTTTTGCTTTGTGGCCGTGATCATAGTATCGCGTCTCTTCTCTGGGCGGATAAAATGCATTTCATCTCTCAATTGTGTGTGTTTTCGGATAGAGCGTATTTCTCTTGTGTGTCAACTGAAAATACTGAGATGTGCCGGATCTCGGGAAGCACCCCGTTACACGCGCTCCGGTTCCCCCAGATTAAAATGACCTTTTATCATATCATGCTGCAGTAGGGGCGGAAAGAAAATATAATCGATACTTGACCTTTTGGCTGAGATCAAAGGGTATTATCTGTTTTTATTCTAATTCTCTATCTCTCTCTCTGTCTCTCTCTCCGCGTGTCTGTCTTTCTTTCTTTCCTTCATTTTCTCGCTGAAACCAAGTAATGTATTTTCCCCACCTACCACGCGATCAAAACGTGGAATAGTTATTTATAAGGCACTGCCAGGACGTAATATTATGAATGATGGTTCCGACAAGAGGGAGCGTATTGATTGGAAAGATTCAGCCATCTGGGAAAAACCATGTTTAACGCCTTTTAGCTTAATGGGGAGATGATTATGATAATATGAAACAAGGATGTTTCTAAACGTGAGCTATGTGGTGGGTATTGCCTGTGATATCGAATACACCCTGGAGCAAGGCAATAAAATTAAATAATCTAATGTCAAGTATCCAGCTCAGAGAACTTGATTTAGAAGAGTAGTCTGATTAACTTTTCTACTGTCCTTTCTATTAACAATAGGGACATTGTGTGTGTGTGAATAATATTCTATAGCATGAGATACTGGCGAGATGGCGTGCCAAAATTCGTGGGTCAGGATTTTGTGAAGTCAACTACTGGTGGTAGGTCATAGAGTTGCCATATATGTAGATTCGTTTTGAACCTAGTCTAGCCTGCTTGTAAAAAGGGTATATCAATTATCAGAATTCGAACGAGCCATGATAGAGATTGGCAGATGGAAGGAACATTCAATTTCTCAACTTTTGCCAATGTAAATATACATTATTCTCACACAGACACACACACTATATTATATATATTTGTTGGATTGATGTAAATATGTTAGCTCTATCACTAATATTGAGCGGTATATAAGATTAAAACGCTGAATTGAACACTACCTTCAAGTTCATAAGCTAGATCCACTCGTACTCATTACATCTGGTGACGCATTAAAAAAATCAAGTACTTGTGTCGTATCTAATTATTTTCCTGAGTTGACCACCTGATGAGACCTTGGCGGTGGAAACCCCGGTAGTCTTCTATTCAGCGTTTAAAGATATTAAATCGCTCTACAGGTTTGATTTTCAATTTCTTGAAATGGAGGACTTTTTAACGCATACGATTTTAAAATTACCATTTTAGTGTTTGTCTCTTTCAATATATATATATATATATATATATATAAGCATGTTCCACTCAGAATATTTCCTTATGTGCCTTGTCCCTCGAGACGTAGGCGATCAAAGCTCTGAAAAATTTCTTGTCCCTTGAACGCGAAATTAATTCTGTGTTTTCTTTATTTCATCCGTTTTCTAAACCTCTTTAAGTATGTTTCGCTTTGTTTTCCTTTCAGTCTTCCCCTCAATCTATCCTGTGAGTATCAGATTTTCCAAGCCCTCCGTCTTATGTGCCCCTGGAATTTCAACTGTCTCTTCTTGATTTTAAATATAAGTTTTCCTTTTGTTTCCATTATCTCTAAAACCTCGTCGTTGCTCAACTGTTCTGTCTATGGTATCTACAGCATCTTTCTGTTGAACCATATTTGTTGCTGGAAGTCAATTCTTTATCTATGATGAAATTGACCAGCATTCTCTGCCATACATTAGGGCAGATATCACGTAACATTTCAGTTCATTTCTAACCAACTTTTCCGTCTCTTAATGCTCTGCTTATCTTTAGGAACGCATCTATCATACAGAGTTCCCGGATATCAGTATCGCATTTTCAGTTCTCTGTTAGAACATTTCTCAGATATTTAAATTTTTTTGCTAGGTTGATTTTGGTATATTAGATTTATAATTTACATATTGGGTACATCCTTTTGCGAAAAACCATTTCTTTTTACAGTTTATGTTTACTCCTTTCTTCTCGATTCCCTTCTCTACGTTTTGCAGGAGTTTCAAGATTTCTTTTCGTGTCTGCTATCAACACTGTGTCATTGGCATATCTTATACTGTTAAGAGTGTGGCCTATAATACTGAGTCCTGAAAGGATATCTAATTCTCTCAGAATTGTCTCGATGTATAGGGTGACCAAGTCCATGTCTTACAGCCCTGTTAATTTTTGTATGTCTGATGAACTCATTTTCTATGGGTATGCTGTTTGCTGCTAGTAAAGTTTCTTGATAAATTTTCATCACTTTCCGAAACATGGCTAGGTTGCTGAGCAGCTCAAAGGGATCTTCGTGACGTTTTTTATCAAATGCCTTTGCGTAGTCTAAAAAGCACAGGTACACGTACTTGAGCATAAATATCGCGTTCCTTGTTCCCCAGACTGACGAACCGGCACTATATCCAGTCTGATACTTCTGCGATCTCCATTCATCAGAATTCAAATGATGGATGTTGGTATAAAACTGAGCTGATTGTCTGTTGGACTTCACATTTGTTTTCACATGGTTTCTTATTCGGTGCAATGAAATTGCATATACTTAGGTTTTCTGGTAAATTGTTGTAGACTGGATCTTAATGTCTTGTCTATGACGAAATCATATAAAGTCTGCCAGCATCTTAATTATGATTCTGTCTGGTCCTGCCGATTCTGTTATTTGTTGAACAAACTCACGAGAGAATATATATATATATATATATATATATATATATATATATATATATATATATATATATATATATATATTTGAGAGAGAGGCAAAAAACAATCTTTTATTCCAATGTATTTAGGTAACATATCTTCAAACATGTTTCATTGAATAATATAGACATATGTCTTAATTTTATAATAATCCTTTCTAGTTCACTACTCACTTTCTTGATGTTGAGATGAAATGCCCCAAGGATGGCGCCGTAGATTTTGTTTTTTTTTCTACCCAACTATATTCGATCTCCTCCAAATCCTCCGCAATGTTGCTTTACAATGACAAACTTATTGAAACAGGGATCACTGTGATTGTGATTTTTAAAATCGTGCATAAACGCGTTGTTATAATTATATTAAGATTTTAAATTCATCCGTTATAGCTATGGAACCTTTTGCAAAACAAACATCACAATTTAAAGGGGCATACTAGAAATTTATAGAAATGCAAAGAGACATTAAACGCTGAGTTTAGTTGTTTTTTGATATAATGGGCTTCGATGATTTTATGTTATTGTTTATTATTTTGGGGGTGTAATACATTGGCGTTGTCAACAATACTTTCCTGTATTGTGAACAGGGATGTATTTTAAATATTGTGCAATAGAACTTGTATCCAACAAGTTAATTGTAAAACTTATTGGTGATGTTGTGGTTGTTAAACCGATATACGTAATTAGATACAATCTCCCAAAGGACATTTAAATTGATGTACAATGTTATTTTCCAAATCACTAGTTGACTGAGAAGACTTATTGTGTATGTTTAAGTGTATGATTAAGTAGTTGTTTATATATGGTTACTATTAGGGATAAATTTGATTCAAATAGAGCTTAATGCTCGCATTAATACTTGTCATTTCAATTCAATTCCCAATACTTCTTGCCTGATGTTAATAAAATTATCATCAAAAATAATAAATAATATTATAATTACTTTTATTATTATTATTTACATCGTCTATCTATAATGTTTGATTTGGCTTTATTTCCTTCTTAGTATCCAGTATTACTATTATTATTATTATTATTACTACTGAAAAAACAAAACAAAAAAAGA